CTGTGTATTCTGTGGCACTCTGTGTACAATGACCGTGTGTATACTGTGTGTCGTTAGTGTATACCGTGTTTATATGTACACTATGCCCCTCAGTGTAAAGCTCCTGTCTATATAATGACATTTAATGTACAGCAGTGACCTGGGTACACTGTGGCAGTCAAGGTACAAAGTAAATGTATACACAGGCACCCAAATGTACAACAACTATGTACACTGTCACTCATTGTACAGTATCTTGACTCTTCTTAAACCCACTCACCTGTATTACTGTAGAGAGCGTTAGACCCGTGCAGGAGAAATTTACGATACGAGGTTTGTCTATATGTTGTTGGACAGAGAAAGTATTGACAAAAGACTCAATAGTTTTAACCTGGCAAAATTATACTTTTTCTTACCTAGAGTAAACTTGGAATCTATTTTCGTTAAAGTAATGACTATTGGCCTCTAAATAAGCATATCATTATCGCTGCTGGTATCAAAATGCAAAAAGTAGGTAAGGTAAGGTAAGGTAAGGTAAGGTAAGGTAAGGTAAGGTAAGGTAAGGTAAGGTAAGGTAAGGTAAGGTAAGGTAAGGTAAGGCGTGAGGGTATATTCGTGCGGTCAGTATAACCCTAACGTCTTCAGGACCAGAAATAGTTTAACGCTGTCTGGCCACACAAAGCGAAATCCTATAGGGAACAACACAACTGTCTCTCCTAAGTGTAAAGTTGTCGCTGATAGTTTGTCTTTCACGTGTCGTACTGTCTGCATATATGTGTTTCTTTCCCACATATCTATCTCTCTCTCTGTCTCCTTGTCTCAATCTCTCTCGTTTTCTCTCTCCTTGAATTAGAATCTAGATACACATGGCTCCGGTGTCTTATAGGTAAAGCATCGTATAATTTACCTGAAATACATTGGCTCTTTTTAGACACTTTTTGTGACCGGGAGAACATACTCAAACTTGGTTCATCTATAACCTAGTCGAGGAAACTATTGGACAAAACCAGTTTAAAAGTTCAGAGTCCAGGTGACCAGGCTGGAAGTGTGGTGGGGGTAGGGTGGGATGGGGTGGGGTGGGCTGGGGTGAGGTGAGGTGTTGGGCGGAAACAGGGCCAGGCGGGTGTGGTTAGGTAAGAAGGAGGGAGGCTGAAAGCGAAGGAGACGAGGGGGGGGGGGGGGGTAGAAGGAGGTTTGTAAAAGGTTGTGTGGAGAAGAAAGGTGAAGACGGAGAAGGGAGAGGGAAATCTGGGAACAGAGGAACGGAGTGAAGGAGGGGGAAGTGTGGTGGGGAGTGCAGGGGAAGGGATGAAGAGGAAAGTGGGATAAGGTGTGGTAGAGCGGGGGGAGGAAGGGTGATGTGTGGTAGGAGTAGAAGGGAGGGGGTTGGTCAGGTGACGTGTGGTGGGGAGAGGAGTGGACGGGAGCAGCTGGTGGGGGAGTGGAAAAGCTGGTGGGGAGGGGTCAGATAGGCAGGTAGGGTGTCGCCGCTTAACACCTGTTCACCGCCACTGCTCATCTTCACACGGTACTTATAACCCTCCTGTTTTTTTAATCGGATTTTGTTATCTGTTCTGATCTGAGGTGTTTGAGGGGGGAGGACTGTTCTCCTGGTGGTAGTAGTGGTGGTGGTAGTAGACAGCGTAGTAGTGGTATTGATGGTGGTGATTTTAGCAAGTTACTTTACGCCATTTGTCTCCAGTAATTGGGGACGTGGATGTTAATCAATTTGCAGATCGTGTTCCGGGGTAATGTTTAGTCAGTGCAATTGGCGAGCTGTTCGGTTCTTCTTGGATTATTCCTTGACACTGGGTCGTACAGCTCGTTAACTTAAGTGTGTGGTTGTTGTATTGGCGACAGCTTCTGCACCTTAAACAAATTCACGCTTAGGTGACGCTAGTGCAACCATTATATAGTATGAATAAAGGTGGTGGTGGTGATATAGTTAATGATAAAAAATATAGTGGTGACTTTCTGTGTCTCTATCTCATTCGTTCTCTGTCTCTCCTTATTCCCCATCTTCTTTATCCATTTCTCTCTTCCCTCTCTTCTTCTTCTCTCATCTTCTCTATCTCTCCCTCCCCTTCCCCCCCAACACACCCGCGACCAGTAATCCATAACACTCTCCCACACAGCCTCTGCGGTGGACGTGGTCTGCCTTCCATCGTGTTATTGAGCCACTGAGCCCCTCCTTCTCAAAGGCGGCTTCCATCTTGAGAATTTCAAAGTTTCTTTCTTCTCCCACATCTTGAAGACTAGTGCGAGTGAGAGGGGAAACTCCGTCCTCCAGATCCCTCACTCCCCTGGCGAAGACCCCCCAAGGTGACGCCCAGGGAGGTCTTAAGAGGGTCTTTGTCAGTCTTGGGGTAAATAAGTAAGGTTGTCGGGAGGACGGCAAGGAATGAATGGCTCTCTTGTGTCTATAAACTATGAGATGTGAGGACTTGTTGTAAGTGTGTGTGTGCGTGTGTGTGTGTGTGTGTGTGTGTGTGTGTGTGTGTGTGTGTGTGTGTGTATGTGTGTGTGTGTGTGTGTGTGTTGTGTGTGTGTGTGTGTGTGTGTGTGTGTGTGTGTGTGTGTGTGTGTGTGTGTGTGTGTGTGTGTGTGTGTGTGTGTATGTGTGTGTGTGTGTGTGTGTGCGTATTGTGTTGTAAGTGTTGTGTTGTGTTTAGGGTGAGGAAAGGGACATTCCAACATTGACTGGTCGACAGACTGTCTATAACTAACTAGTAAGCAAACAGTCCTGCAAACTTTTTGTCTAGAAACTATTTGGGTGACTGGTTGGCTGGCTAGAGGGTATCTAACTATCTAGCTCCATTGCAATCCGGCTCGTAAGTCGAAAATAAAAATATCCGTATAAATTGTAGCTATGAAATTCTACAGGTAGGAGAGTCGCTGGTTGTAGAGACGTTATATTTACCTGAGGGTGTTGGTTCGACTCACACCCTCACCTGCTGGGAGTGTCAGCAGCGGCCACCTCCCCACACCTGGTCGTGACCCATCTCTTTTGCAGGTACACCAAAATTCCTACACCTGCTACCGAAATACACACCTTATGTTACCTTTATATTATTACCGTGTGTAGTTTACCATAGTGAATATATACCTTTTAGAATAGATAGTTCGTAATTATGAATACCCACTAGCCTTCTTCGGTATACATACATAAATATACACTTTTATAAACATAAGATTCGTTATATAAAAATCCCAACACTACACACAATTATATTTCATTACAAAAGCAATCCCGATCTATTACACAAGTTATCTCTGCTTCACGAACGCTTCACAATCCCCTGAGTGTTATTATCTTTTAAAGAATGTTTTAATTAATCTAATTTATTTTAGATTTTGTTAATTAGTTGATAATTGTGGGTGAAATTTGTTGATAATGAGGGTAGCGAGTCGTGAGGTGAGTTGGTTCCTTTGATCAGGTAAAATTAATTATGCACACCCCATGATGAGGAGGTTTACTTTGTGTGGTGATGATACTTTGAAGTGATACTTTGAGGTGATACTTTGTGGTGATACTTTGTGGTGATACTTGGGGTGATACTTTGGGGTGATACTTTGGGGTGATACTTTGGGGTGCTACTTTGGGGTGATACTTTGGGGTGATACTTTGAGGTGATACTTTGTGATGATACTTTGGGGTGATACTTTGGGGTGATATATTGATATTGGTTCTATGTGTATATACTTTGCTTCCATGTGCGTGTCTAAGATGGGTCCGTGAGCGTTTTTATGTGTAGCCACGTATCTTATGACTGTGAGTGAGGGGGGGGAGGAGGGCGAGAGAGGAGGGCGAGAGAAGAGGGCGAGAGAGGAGGGCGAGAGAAGGCGAGTGGCCAAGTTGAGGAAAAGTTCGTCCATACATTGAAAAGTTATTGTATTCACAAAGAAGATGATATAGACGATGACGATGACGATGACGATTCTACAAACATTTATCAAACTTCCTACGGGGGAAAAGAGTTTATTTAGACTACTGTAATATTTATGAAAAGATGGTAAGTGAAGGTGAACCGCTGAAGTTTGGAGAGATTCTTCCCACACACACAGGGTAACTCCCAGGTCCAGACTTCTTCAAGAACAATAATTCCTTCATCCTCGACACAAACTTTGCACTAAGTCAACACAAGTTATGAGGATGTCAGAGCTGTTGAGACAACCTACGTGGTCTGAGTCAGTATATCTTCTCTCTCTCTCTCTCTCTCTCTCTCAATATAGTACAATGTATCTCTCACTTTCATACACAGTCTCTCTCTCTCTCTCACAACCAGACACTGTTTCACTCATCAACCCTGATTTAGGTAGTCGAAAATGAGAGAGAGATTAAGAGATAGAGAGAGATTAGAGAGAGAGAGAGAGAGAGAGAGAGAGAGAGAGAGAGAGAGAGAGAGAGAGAGAGAGAGAGAGAGAGAGAGAGAGAGCTGATTTCATATTGTATTTTCCGTCTCACTCACAGATCAAAGAGACAAAATTGGTTTTAATTGGCCGTTGGAGCGTAACTGATTAACCTGGTTTACTTAATATCTTCCGGACCACTGAGCTAATGAAGGCGACTCATCCTTTTGTTCCTGATTGGCTTATTTCACCTGATTGGCTTAGCTTAGTTCAGGTTCCTCACTCCTTTCTGATCACCTGGTTTTGTTCCTCCATGGCTTAGCTTTGTTTTGACCCTACCTGATATTAGTTAATTTATGTACCTGATTTATTTTAGTTAACCTATCTGACTTAGTTCACCTGGTTGGTTTATTCTTAACAGCAATGACTTTGATCTTTGACCCTCAGACCCCCACCATACAGACACAGACATCCCGGGTCAAAACTAAAGAGTAATCTAAATATTCTCTTAATAACTCAGGTAACAGAGGAAATGAATTATGATGTTCAAGGTGTCATTATGTGTGTGTGTGTGTGTGTGTGTGTGTGTGTGTGTGTGTGTGTGTGTGTGTGTGTGTGTGTGTGTCATTCATAACTGGATAATACATACCAAGTTTCTCTCTCACAGGTCCTAGTGTTGGTGTGGAAGCGGTCCAGGTGTTGGAGGGGAGTCCCATGGTGGAGACGAGGAACTCTCCAACATACCCTCCTCCTAGTGTCTTCCTCCACCACATCTACTCCCCCACATCCCTCCACCGTCCACTTCAATACTCCCCAGCATCCCTCCTCCAACACACCTACTCCACCAAAGTACTCCATCAATCTCGAGAACGACAACAATCACCACCTCTTGTATCTCCAACACTCCACCAGTCACCCCATCCAGTCTCCGATGCACTCCCAGGTAACCACCACTACCAGTCACCTCTGCTACAGTCACCACCACACTCTGGGAGGCTCCAACAGTTACAAGGGGGACTAAAGAAGACTGGGTTCAGGTTCGAGATGGAGAAAAAGAGGGAGAGAAGTGAGGAGGAGGAGGAGGAGATGGTGGAGAGAATGAGTGAAGAGGATGAACAGAAGGAGAAAGAGAGGGAGACTGGTGAAGAGGAGGAGAAGGCAGAAAGGGAGAGTGACGAGGGAGAGAAGCTGCTGGCTGGAGTCAACAGCCTAAAGAGTCAGCCAAGTGGAAACTGGCCTCAGGCAACAGGCGGTGACGAAGACGACGACGGAGGAGGAGGAAGAGAAGGGAGAGAAGAGAAGACAAGAGAGAACAGTAGAAGAGAGAGAAAGGAAAGGAAAATGGATATAGAAAGGAAAGACAAAGACGAGAGAAGGATTGAGATTGAAAAACAGATTAAAGAAGAGAGGAAGAGAGGAGAAAACTGGAAGGGGAATCATTATAAGGAGCGATTTTTAGTGTCGGATCTGCCTTTGACATCAACTCTGAGACGAAGTGAGATAAAAGAGGAAATACCAGCTAATGATACTGAAGGGAAACAGAAGGAGGATGATAAAGATGGTGTCAAGGAAGGAAAGGATGATGAAGAAGGTGTTAAAGAAGGAGAGGATGATGAAGAAGGTGTCAAGGAAGGAGAGGATGATGAAGAAGGCGTCAAGGAAGGAGAGGATGATGAAGAAGGTGTCAAGGAAGATAATAATGATAAGAAAGTTGAAGAGGAAAAAGAATTTGTTGAAGAAGACAAAGAAGGTGTAAGCGAAAGAGAAATAGACAGTGATGAAGACAAAGAACATGATAAAGAAACAAAAGAAGAAGAAAAAGAAGGCAACACTAAAGATGGAGATGAAATACAGATAAGACAGGATACAAATAATGATAATGAAGATGTTAGGAAAAAAAAAGAAGAAAAAGAAGAAGGAGAAAATAAGAGAGAAATTAAAGATCGCAAAAAGAATATACAAGAACAAGAATATGAAGAACCAGGCACTCACAAAACACACGATAAAAGGGGAGAAAGCATAGAAAACACCAAACAAGAAGAAGAGGGAAAACAAGAAAGAGATGATAATGATGAGAATAAAGCAACACGATCTCAGCATGATAGATCACAGGATATAAACAGGACCATGATACATCCCATAACAAGTTTGGAGAACACTAGCTGGCTCAGGTCACCTTCACCTACAGGACGCCAAGATCACGCGGAACCTGGATTAGGGGACCAGCTGGCCAGAGACGACACCTGGCAAATGGACCGCCTACACCATCGAGTTTTGAGGTGAGTTACAGAATTGAGACGTTTTTATTTTGAGAGAGAGAGAGAGAGAGAGATAGAGAGAGAGAGAGAGAGAGAGAGAGAGAGCATGTCATCATTTCATTATACATTACATCATTACTGTGTGTCTTCATTATATGTACAAAATCATGTCATCAGTGTATATATGTCGTAATTACACACTATAAACACATCACACCATCAGCTATAATACCACTATAAGCACATCACACCACCTATCACATCACTATAAGCACATTATCATCACCTATCACATCAGTATAAGCACATTATCATCACCTTAACGGGTCATCAATAAGGCGTTAGGTCACCACAACTTCACCAGGTATCTTAAGGATCAATACCTTAAGAAATAATTTGATTAATGACCTCAATCTCTTCAGGTATTCAGCTTCACGACGGATTTTTTTCATTACATTCTCATTGGCTATTTTGGTGTTGATAATTTATTCTTATTGTGGTTGAATGTGGGTGAGCCAAATCCGTAGACTTGTTGGTAAATATTCGTTTTATTTACCAACCTTTAGATTTATTTTTTCCCCAGGATGTTCTAGAGGAGGTTCGACGTGTAGGAAAATATCAGCGTCTCACATAATACTGGTGATAAAAGTTTCCCGAGCGAGCACCTGTGCGTGGCCGCTAATGACGTCATTAAGGTGTTGGCAAGGCGACCAGATAGCAAGGGAAGATGTGTTGAGGGGGGGGTTTGTGTGTGGGGGGGAGGGGCGGGGAGGGGGGCAGTGGGGGTGGTTTTGTGTGTTGGGAAGGTAGGAGGTGAATGAGTGTTGGAGGGGAGGAATGAAGTGGTTGTGTGTTGGAGGAGGGAAGAGGTGGTTGTGTGTTGGAGGAGGGAGGAGGTGGTTGTGTGTGTGTGAACCTCATTAAAAAAAACGTCAAAATTGTGAATGTCATCCTCAGAAGGCCGAACCCCACCTTGAAGTGATAGTGTAGTGGATGTAGTATAGATGATAGTATAGTCACGAACAGAGGCTATATGCTTCTCCTCTTAAACAAACCTGGGCAACACCGGGTTTCCCAGGAAGTGAAATATATCGAACACCAATTACAAGATGTCTCTGTAGTGTTTACAGTCTATTTCAGTGATATAAGATTTGAAAGTGTTTTGTTTGCTTTCCAGATCTCGAGTTCCAGGGAAGATGATACTTGTTTCAACTTCCAGTTTCCATGATTTATAGTACCAAATGCCACATATTTGTCCCAGTGTCCAGGAGAGTTTTAAGCTCTAGAGAACTTTAAATTAGTTCCAGTTTTCAGGAGATTTTCTTGTACTAAAGAACTCATATTTGTTCCAGTTTCCAGGAGGCCTCAATAACTAAGTAGCTTTTTCAGCTTCCAGAAAGGTTTCAATAACTAATTTAATGTTTTATAACTAGTTTCCAGGAATCTTTACAGTTATTAATAACTTCAAATCTGTTATAACTGTCGTGTTATTACAGTTGTTTACTAAAGTTCCTACTCCTGCAGCCGAGGCGTCGAAAGGAACAAGTTGGTGGTGAGGACGAGGAGATCTGGCCAACACCTCCCCTCTCTTCCCTCACTATACCTCTCCCCTGTAACCTCCCTCAACTTCCCCTCACCCGTCTCCTCTTCCACCTTCTCCTTCCCATCCTCCAGGCATCTGTCCTCCTCTTTACCGCTCTCCCTCTCACTTGAACCTCCTCCTCCCCCAGCTTCCTCCTCCTTCTCTTCCTCCTCCTCCTCCTCCAATGACCCTTCCTCAACACACCCACTCCAACGCCCCTCGTCGATCTCACCCACCACGTCGTCCCCTCAAGCCCCCATCACCACTTCAACACCCACGACAACATTACCACGCCTACCTACTCCATCACCATGCACCGATACACTGTCACCACGCCTTCCCACCCCTCCGCCACGCCAGTTCACGCCATCACTCCGCTTGCCCACGCCATCAGGAGGCCCAGGCACGCCCCACAAGACTGGTGCTCAGGCCGTGGTGCGAGAGTCCTCAAGACGTGCTGAGACTACTGCTGCTGTAGACGACATGCAAGGTAAAGTATCACGAGCCTCGGTGTGTGTGTCTGTGTGTATGTGTGTGTGTGTCATAAATCGTCCAGGAACTCATTTAATCAGGAAACCACAATCTGTAGAGAGTTAAACCATTGTCCTTAAAGAACTAAAGCAAGAGTCCGTAGTACTCAAAGGTACAAACTATTGTTCTCAAATGGTAGTTATTATTATTATTATTGTCATTATTATCATCATCGTCATCATCCTGAAGAATTATCTCCTAGAATAAAAATAAATACGAAATACGAAATAGATTAACAAATATCATCAAAATCTTTTAGTCCTATAAATAAATTTTAATCTAGTCTGTTAACAAAATTGATATTAATAAAACTAACTAGTAGTGACGAGCCATATCCCTAGAGGCAGCAAAACAATATATACTGGAGCGAAAAAATCTTAAGAGTATTAAGAGGTATATATAACTCAGACCGCTCTACTAAGCCAACTAAACCCACTCAGCCCACTAAGCCCACTCAGCCCACTCAGCACAGTCACGTAGCTTCCAATGATACAATGTAAAAAATATGGTACAAATACATCAATATACAAGGACTATATTGTTTAATGAACTATTACTAAAATTTGTACAGGGACAAAATCGTCATATGTGTTCCCCTATGCTATACTAACCCAATTCTCACTATGTGTTATGTTTTGATGATGGAGAACTGAACTAAAAACAAACACGAGGAAGTTAAATAAAAACAATAAAAAAAACACTGGATAAAATTCAGATTAAAAATAAATAAAAAAACCAACAACAAAAATAGAATAATCTAAAATATTCTATAGACAAAACCAAACAAAACCTTTATTTTTTTTTTTATCAAACGCCTTTAAAAGAGAAGTCAATACCCTCTCTCTCTCCCTCTCTCTCTTTTATTTATGGTATTCACTACTTAAAAAAAATATGGAGGTAACTGTGGCTTAGGTGCGCCGGTGTCTATAAACCGATTATGGCGGTAAAAAAAAAATGAAAGGAAAAAAATGAAATGAAAAAAATGAAATGAAAAAAATGAAAAGAAAAAAAATGAATCCCAAAAAAGAATTAAATATTTTCAAATGGTTTAAAAGACGAAGGGGTCAAACAAGAGATAAAGACACAACTATAGGTTTATATTAATAGTCATGAGAGATATATGTGACGCTGGTTTATATATGATGTATATATAGGATGTAAATGTAAATAAGAAGTAAATGGTAAATAAATTGAAAAAAAAAACAGGTAGAAAGATAAGTAAAACGACAGAAAGAGACAGACAGACAGACACAGACAGACAGAAAAAATACAGACTAATTTAAAGAGACAGACAGATAGAAAGACAAACAGACCGGGAACTAAACAGACAGTCACACAAACAAACACAGACAAACCGAAAACCATAGGACACACCAAAAGCCTCGCTGCTGCCCCCCCACACACCAGATCGTTGCCACCTCGGAATATCCCAACACAATTTTTATTACCCTTCAGCAGACAGAAATTTGACCACGACTCAGTAACCATCTGTCTGTCTGCCTGTCTGTCTGTCATCATTCTCAAAGTCTGTAATATGGCGAATTTTTCTAGTAACTCAATATAAAAAAAAAACCTAATTAATTAATGTATCTAGTTGTAGTTTAATACACTATAATTGTATGTATTATTTAGCCATCAACTGAGGTAAGACGTCCAGGTAAGGAGACCAGGTAAGGAGATCAGGTAAGGAGACCAGGTAAGGAGATCAGGTAAGGAGACCAGGTAAGTGTGTTCTTGTAATCTTTAGTTATCAGGAATATACAGTGTTGGAACCTTTGCTAATCTAGACTTAGGGTTTACTCCACACACACACACACACACACAAGCCAAGGTCATAGTATCCTGACTGAATCTCATCATACTACGCTAGACTGAAAAGTTTTATAACAATAATAATACGAATAACACATAAATAAATGAACAAACATATATATAAACTTACAATATACATAAACAAACATCCATACAGACATACCTCAACCTATACACATGAAAAAATACATAGAGTATACTTAAATGAATCGGGCATTTTTTTCCTGATAAGAAATGTCGGAGTCTAAGATATATTACTTTCTGAGCACTCTGAACTGATTACTTCCATAAACAAACATCCATACAGACATACCTCAACCTATACACATGAAAAAATACATAGAGTATACTTAAATGAATCGGGCATTTTTTTCCTGATAAGAAATGTCGGAGTCTAAGATATATTACTTTCTGAGCACTCTGAACTGATTACTTCCGTGTGTGGTAGGGGTGTGGTAGGGGTGTGGTAGGGGTCTGTGGTAGGAGGTGTGGTAGGGGTGTTTAGGTGGGGGGGTGGGGATGAGGGGTGTGGGTAGGGGTGTGGTAGAGGTGTGGTGTGTGGTAGAGATGTGGTAGGGTGTGGGGGTGTGGTAGGTGTGGTGTAGGGGTGTTTTAGTGGGGTGGTGGTGAGGTGGTGGTAGATGTGTAGGGGTGCGTGAGATGTGGTAGGGGTGTGGTAGAGATAGGTGTGGTAGGGGTGTGGTAGGGGTGGTGGGTGTGGTAGGGAGGATGTTTCCAAGAACGAGGTTGGTGTGTGTGTGTCTGTGTGTGAGTGTGTGTGTGTGTGTGTGTGTGTGTGTGTGTGTGTGTGTGTGTGTGTGTGTCACTTATTTAACTCGAGCTAAATATCATAAACGCGGCGTCTAATTTAGTTTATGTATTAACTCCTTCAATAATAAACCAAAAGAAGATTTTAATGAGTCTATTTTTGTCTAAGAGGCTTTAAGTTATTTCAATTTTCTTACTATGGAAACACTGATCGTTTCGCCATTAGAACTGTTTGTAGTTAGTTCCCAAGTCGACGCCATTATGATCGTAATCTTCGTGTTGTAATATAAACTGAACCATTCAAATACATTAGTGAGTGAAAAGTAATATACCATAATAACCACGAAGAATCCATCACTGTGTTAACTGGATCCAACCTCATATCTTCTTTGGGACAGGAAAAATTAACAGGTGATCCATTGAGAATCCATCATGGAGTCGTAATTTAATCCAACTCTATAAATGCAGCCTCACGTCACCAGCGGCGGGGGAAAAATTAATATAAGAACGTTTAAGAATCCATTTTTGAGTCGTAGCTTAATTGAACCATTTACTGAGGTCCTCACATTTCCAGTTAGGAGGATTTTTTTTTTAACGTAGGAACCTCTGAGAGTCGTAGTCCAGGTGTGGTGTTCTCAGGCTCTGGGTTCACCTGTTTAATAATAACGCCATAATGGGAGGTGGAGGAACACCTAGTTGATACTGATAGTTCTGCAACACCTCCGGGAAGGGGAGGGGGGTCAGTGTTGATGGCTGAGGTGGTGGTAGTCGCTGGTGTTGGTGGTGAAAGTGACAGTGATTCTTGTTGTTGTGGAAGGTGATGGTGGTTGTAATGCTCGTAACTTGTCAACATTAATTTCACACTAACACCAATCCGGACTCCTGCTTCCCTCTCCCACTTACCAGATTACAAAGTCAAAAGATTGTCAAGAATAAAACACAGTTATACAAGTTTTATCATCAGTTTCAACCCCCCCTCCCCACCCCCACACACAGATGTAAACTCTTAATTTAGTATCTAATCTATACTCAGTGTAAAACAATAAATATCCATGAAAGTAAATTACAACACGTGGTTATGTCACCCTCGTTAAGCGTCACTGATAACTTGTACATCTAGTAATTGGTGTTGTTAGCTGTCGTTAATCTGACGCTGGCTTTATGTCTAGTGTTTAGAGTAGAAGATTATAGAAGGGATATTTCTATTTATTTATCTGTCTGTCAGTCTGTGTGTGTGTGTGTAATATTTATATATATGATGGTGTGTGATTGGGGGATGTGAGAGGGAAGTTTGGGAAAAGTTACAGGCAGATGGAAGAGGTCGAGGGAAGTTGATGGAGGGTATCTAGAAGGCGGGATGAACAGACAACTATAATTCTTCCTCGTCCTTCCTTCCTTCCTTCCTTCCTTCCTTCCTTCTCTGGTCAACAGGAGGAGGTAGAAGGAGAGGAGGGGGAGGGGGAGGAGGACGAGGAGGAGGAAGGAGGAACGAAGGGCGTCGCGTCCCGAGGCAGAGTTGTGTGAGCACTTTGTAAAATTAGATCATGTGTCACACCACAGCCCGGGGAGGTGGCGCCCACACCAACACACTTTATACTTCACTACACCCGTCCTCAACTGTCGGGGTGAGGGAGGGAGGGGGTGAGAGAGGGAGGGAGAGGGTTAGAGAGGGGGTGAGAGGGGGTAGGAAGAGGAGACACCCAGGAGGAGAGTGTGAGAGGAAGGTGAGAGTTAGAAGGAGAGGCTAAAAGGGTGAGATTGAGAGGGAGAGGAAGAGAGGGAAGGAAGGGGTGACAGATGAGAGTGAGTGATTGAGAGGGAGGTGAGAGTCGGAAGAAGAGGATGAAGAGGAGGAGACGAAGAGAAAAACAAGCTGAGGTAAGAGTAGGAAACAGAGAGAGAGAGAGAGAGAGAGAGAGAGAGAGAGAGAGAGAGAGAGAGAGAGAGAGAGAGAGAGAGAGAGAGAATTATCAACAACAACAACAGAGGTACACGGCCTCGTAACAAAAGACACAGTCAGCTGGAAGAGTGTTTAAAGAGCCTCGTTGTTGAGAAGACTAGTGAATGAGGTACAAAGGAGAGAGAGAGAGAATTACTTTTAAAAGGAACCCCCATCTGTCTCTCTCTGTCTCTCTCTTCATTTCTTCTATTTATTTCTCTTCTTTCAGCTCTTGTTTTATTCTGTTACTTCTCCCTCTCTCTCTCTCTCCCATTCGCTCTCTTTCTCTCCCTTCTTTACTTCTCTCCTTCCCATCCTTCCCTTCCTCTCCTTCCTTTCCACCATACTTTTATTTTCCCATCCTCTTCTTTCCCTTCCTCTTCCCTCTCCTCTACTTTCTACCCCCCTCCCATCCCATCTTCCCCCTTCTCCTCCCCCCA